ATATGATGTTACATACATCTCTCTCTGGTCTCTCTCTGGTCTCTCTCTGGTCTCTCTCTGGTCTCTCTCTGGTCTCTCTCTGGTCTCTCTCTCTTCTCTCTCTCTCTCTCTCTCTCTCTGGTCTCTCTCTCTGTCTCTCTCTCTGGTCTCTCTCTGGTCTCTCTCTCTGGTCTCTCTCTCTGGTCTCTCTCTCTGGTCTCTCTCTCTGGTCTCTCTCTCTGGTCTCTCTCTCTCTCTCTCTCTCTGGTCTCTCTCTCGGTCTCTCTCTCTGGTCTCTCTCTCTGGTCTCTCTCTCTGGTCTCTCTCTCTGGTCTCTCTCTCTGGTCTCTCTTACTTCTTCTGGTGTGAGTTGGTGCGTCTGGTACAGAGGAAGGCTCCGACGATGACTACGATGATGGTGAAGGCTCCGACCGAGATGATGACGATGACGAGCAGGTGGTTCTCGTTACTGGGGACTCCTGCGGATCAAAGGTACAAGTCCCTGTGAGTCACAATCTGATCTGACATCATTAAAGGGCCCTAATCCGTCATCATTAAAGGGCCCTACTCTGTCATCATTAAAGGGCCCTAATCTGTCATCATTAAAGGGCCCTAATCTGTCATCATTAAAGGGCCCTAATCTGTCATCATTAAAGGGCCCTAATCTGTCATTATTAAAGGGCCCTAATCCGTCATTATTAAAGGGCCCTAATCTGTCATCATTAAAGGGCCCTAATATGTCATCATTAAAGGGCCCTAATCCGTCATTATTAATTTAATGATCTTTAATTTGCTTATTTGCCTTATGGGATCTAAGTGCTAACTGTTGTCCCTGGGCACATGGCAATCACCTCAATGTGAAAAATGCTGTATTCAAAAGCACCTGCCCTACAGCCTTTCCATTTCCAGGGCAACTTCCAGTACAATTGAACAATGATATAAACTTGTCTCCAGCTCTGCCCAGAGACTTCCCAAAACTCAAATTTTTGTTTGCTTTGTTCTATCTCACCAATTCATTACATGGAGGTGCTTCAACATGTCCAAGAATTGACAGTAGGCCTATATCAATTGCTAAACAGAGGGTATTGATTGCCTTACTTCTTTTGTTGGCTGGAAATGTGCATCCAAATCCCGGACCTGAGCTTCAATGCTCCCAGACACCTTCTGACTTCAAATCATTGTCTGGTCTTAAATGTATTCATCTTAATGTACGGAGCCTACTGCCAAAGATGGACTCTGTTAGAATCTGGGTGAAATCAACAGATGCAGATGCTGTTATCATTTCAGAAACTTGGCTTACTAAGTCTATTTCAAACATAGACATTAACATTCTTGGGTACAATGTTTACCGCACTGATAGGCCTAAGAAAGGTGGAGGTGTAGCTATCTATGTTAAATCCAAATTTAATTCCTCAATTATTCTTTCTCAATCAATCAGTAAACAAATGGAATTATTGGCCTTGAATATTGATACAGTAAAATCGCTGCACATTAGTAGTTGGGTGCTACAGGCCTCCATCTGCCTCAAAGGAAGCGCTAGGATCATTAAAACAGCTTTTGGATGGGTTAAATTTCTCTGAGTTGCTTATGGCAGGAGATCTCAACTGGGATTGGTTAAGTGCAACTTCTGATGAATTTAAAAGGTTTTGTGATTCTATTAATCTCACGCAGTTAGTTCCCTCTCCCACCAGGCCCAATCCCAAAAGTCCAGATAAATCTACCCTGATTGATTTGATTTTGACTAATGTGCCTCAGAAGTTCTCCTCTGTGGGTGTCTTCTGCAATGACTTAAGTGACCATTGTGTTGTGGCTGCGTGCAGGAACACTAAGATTCCTAAGTGCAAACCCCGTATTGTTTGTAGAAGGAATCTGAAACATTTTAATGAACAAGCCTTTCGTCATGATTTGTCCATGCTGGATTGGAAACGATTAGATCTAATACCAGATGTAGAGCTTGCTTGGACTTTTTTAAAGACATCTTCATGCAAGTAGTAAATAAACATGCTCCTTTGAAGAAATACAGGGTAAAGGGGCGAGAAAACCCATGGTTCTCTCCAGACCTGGCAGACAGCATTCATGAGCGTAATAAGGCGTGGGACAAGGCAAGACAGAATAACCTGGCCACTGATTGGACCTTTTTTAGACAGCTTCGAAATAAATGCACCTTGCTTGTAAAAAAGGCCAAAGCAGAATATTACTTGTCCGTTACCGCTGAGAACCTCAACAATCCTCAGAAATTCTGGAAAGTGATCAAGTCTCTGTCTGTGGATATAAAAGAGACTCTTCCGACATTTGTATTTAAAGACTCTGTCCCAGTTTATGACAGAACTGAAATCTTAAATTGCTTTAACCAGCATTTTTTTGTCATCTGGTTCTCTACCTGACGTTTACAAAAAAAAAATAGGGGATCCTTTTGCAGATTGTCCCATGTTTTCTGGAGATTGTTTTAACTTTGATCCTTTCACTTGTCAGGAAGTGCACAAAGCTCTAAAAACCTTAGACCACAGAAAGCCCTGGACCT